TTTTCTATTATCTTCCTATATCAAACCAACATTATAATACATATGAAGATGTCAAACAGTTGTTGTTACAAGGTAAGTGGAACAATGAGCTATTGGAGCAGCTATTTGATGAAGAAGTGGTAAATCAAATTCATAGGGTATTGGCAACAATAGGGAAATCAAAGGAATGGGATAAAGCCTGAGGGATGCTAACAAGCAATGGCAAATTTACTATTAAATCTGCTTGGGAGGCATTAAGAAGAAGAAGTTTAGATCAGGGGGAGATGAAATTCATATGGCAAAAGGGAATTACATTCAAAATATCTTTTTTCATGTGGAGACTCTAAAAGAAGAGAAATCCCATTGGAGAAGTTCTAGAGAAAATCAAGGTGGAAAGTGAAGTGAAATGTTGTTGTTGCAATAGTAATCATCAGGAAACTTTTGAACATCTTTTTGTTCAATGTCCAAATGCTTTAAAACTATGAAAGACGTTTGTTGGGGCAGCTGGTATGGAATGTTATGGCGTTCAGCTGAAACAAATGTGTGATATTTGGTGGAAGTTTGAGTGTGCTTCTAAGTTGAAACCTTTAATTGTTGTTGTGCTTAGTTTTATTGGGTGACAACTTTGGAAAAGAAGGAATAAAATAAGAAATGGAGGCATGATGTCTTTTATCTCTATGGTGGAGGGAAATCAACAGAAGCTTGGTTATGTTAGCCAAGTATATGTACCCTTGGTTAACTAATATTCCTAATACTTGGTCTTTAGTGGTCAAGTTCTTTGAAGATTACAGATCAGTGATATCTTGTAAGGTTGTGAGATGGACATGTCCTGTAATGGACTTTAAATGTAATTCCGATGGAGGATTGAATGCTATGACAGACAATTTTTCTAGTGCATTATGTATAAGAGATGTTGAGGGCAATTTTGTTTATGCAGAAACAAGAAATATTGGAAAGGAATCAGTGCTGATGGCATAAATGAAAGCCCTAATGTTTGGGCTAGAGTATTGGTGCACTCACAATATATTGTCGGTTGTTTTAGAAACAGATTCTTTGATATGTAAAAGGGTACTTCATGGAGTGTGGGAAACCCCATGAAATGTTTCAGTTGATGCAAATTACTTAAAGAGGGTCTTAGCAGAAACTGGGCCTTGGTCGAACATATTTACAAAGAGGGCAATCAAGTTGCAGATTTGTTTTACTAATATAGTTTTTATTTTTGCAGGTATAATGGTGAAAAAATTCAATTCTTTGAGAGAGATGCCAAGTAAAGGAAGGGCATTGTTAGAACTCGAAAAACTGGGCATATCATATATGAGAATAAAGAAGTGTCAAAATAATTTGGTATATACTACAGCAAGCAAGAGAACACCGACAACAACTAATCCAATAAATTAGAAAAAAGGGCAAGGCGGAAGATAATTCATGATAAAGGGATTATTACCTTAAGTCGACATCTTAGATATGTCATGGTGAGGTTCCATATCGGAATTCTATTACAGTAGTATTAGTTCCTCTGGAGCTCAACCTATTAAGAATGAAGAAATGGAAACCTAACTATGGTCTTATAGTAAATTTGAAGATCGAATTGAGCATCTCCAAGAATTTTGATGTTGTCCATCGGTGGAAAAGGAACCCCCGATTTAGTGGTAGAAGAAGTCTTCATTGAGTATGAATTCATGATATTCGTGAGACTTGTGAATGCCTAAGGTGAATCTCTACTCGACCACGAAATTGTGCTTCCAAAACCTCCACTGTCAGCTTGAAGATCTCTTCCATGGTGACTCTTCGAGCCTCCCAAGCTCTGTCCTGTACTCTTTCCTTTTTTTTGTTTAGTCTTTTCTTTTTATGTTTAATTAGTAATTGCCTAAATTAAGTTTGGGCTTGGGTCACTTTTGGACCCAAGCCATGTAAATTGTCTGTACTATTTCTTATATTTTTGGTAAATAATGGGCTCGACCCAATCCATTTGTTAACCCCCCCCCCCCCCCCCCCAACATATCATTGTCATGTATTATAAAAAAAACCAAATTCTTTATATAATATAGATTTATATTTTATTCTAAATTTCTAAAGAACAATTATGAATAATTAAAAAAAGAAATTAACAAGCACAGCCACAACTTTTCTGGATTATACAAAAAAAAAAATTAATAATGTTAAATGTGGAAACGACCTACCGAATTATTAAATTATAATTATGATTTTTAAAATTATTATGTTATTTATTGTATCGTATTGTTATCCTGTATTTAAATTATTATGTGATGTATTGTACTTTTAAATTAAAATTTGCATTTTATCATTAAATTTTGTGCATTCTTCATAGGCAAAATTAATAATAATATCAGAATATATTCACTTAAAATGACGATTTTTTTTTAAAAAAAAACATTTGAAATAGTATTAATTCGCGGTGCAAGTAATATATAATAAATAATACAGTTTAAAAAATGTTATATTACATTTAAAAACAATTATGGATATTAGAGATTTAATTAATATCATTATATGAAAAATAATATGCTAGTTACAAAATAATAGAAATAATAATATAATATTCAAAAGTGAAATAGAGAGTATGAATAGTAGTTCTCCAAATTTGGAGAACTACTATTAAATTCTCTATAATTGGAAAGTTGAGGGTAAAATAGAGAGTGCTTGGAGAGGACATTCTCTATTTTACTCTTCAAATATAGAGAATGTCGAATAAAATAGAGTAGGATTGGATATGGTCTAAAGTGAAAATTTAGGTAATCAAATTAAGACTGAACTATAAAAATTTCTCGATTGTGTCATATAACAAAACACGATCAAATATAATCAAACAGTCATATTTTAATGACAAAAGAAGAATAACTAATACTCCTATAAATGATGAAACGTTGTAATGTCAAATCTCTTAACTAAATTAATACTTTTTTCTAAAACAATTCACGTGATTGAAGTAATGAACATCACTGATAAGATAGCAATATATATGATTAGATAACCAAACACTCCTAGTCTCCTATAAAAGCATAATGAAATAAGTCAACAAAGAATAACATTTATGAAAATGATATCTCTTATGCCACTAACAAATTAAATAAAAGAAACAGTCTTTTCAGATTTTTCACGTGTAAGTGAATATCTTATATTGTATGTAAAAAAAAATGAAGAACTTTTGTAAAAAAACATAAAACTAAATACACATTTATAAAGGATTACAAAATTAAATCTCTTTTTATTTCTAAAATCCAAAGCCATACCAAAAATAAACCAAATTTTCTAAATTTTAAATTCAAAATCAAACCAAATAACAAAAGAAATCGATTCAATTTGATTTTTCAATTAATCTGAATAAACACCCCTACATTTTAACCTTCATTTTCTTAGAAGGATAGTCCCTAGCTATTTTATTGATCCGGTCCCAAAATTTGTGAAGAATCTCATTCTCACAAGTTACGAAATGTTAATTTGGGCTGTAACGCAAAAAGTGGATGAATTATTATAATTTATAACAATGACTAATGTAAGTACTATATAGTACTTGTTTACAATAATAATCATAACCATATGTTATAATTAGCATACTTAGAAAGTTCATGCCACTTATATGTCTTTTTTCTTTCTTGAGTGGGTAGTTCAGATATATTTCGGTGTGTCTGTTTTAGGAAATAGGAAAAGCAATAACATAAAAAATTGGAAGCAAGAAAATATCACAATATACGAATTTAAAAGGAAGAAAAAAAAAAGAAGGAAAGAAGGCAACAAAAAACTTTATAACGTTATACAGGGTACTGTGTTTGGTACGAAGGTAAATAGGCAACCATTAGAAACATTGCTTTTAATCAATCAATAGAATATTGAACAGTAGCACGAGTCATTTGATTCAAAGAACCCCATTTAACACTTTGTTCAGAGGGTTGTTACTTATTGTTTCATAATGTATTGTGTTGTATTGTTTTAATGAATATAGTATTTGGATAAATTGTATCATTCTCCGTCTTTATATAATGTCATAGATTCATAATTTGAATGGCAGACCTAACTACAAGAAAAGTATAGTACGGAATAGATCTACTATGAAAATGTAGGATAAAAGATGAAATATAATTATTAAATAATAAATAAATACAGAACGAGGAAAATAAATTAAGGTAACGGCGCGATCATACCAAATAGGTTGTTACATAAAATGGATCTTTTTGTCGTTAATTATCTAATGATAGATATTTAAACGATATGATGTAACATAATTTAAGTTACAATCAAAACAAAAATTATATTTAAACTAACAATACAATACAATTTTTAATAATACGTGTTATAAAAAATTAATTCTTTATTAATTACTATATCAAGTCTAAGTAAATTGGAAAATTTGTGAGAACAGAAAAAGTGGAAGAAAGTGCATCAAAAGTTTGTCTTTGAAAAATGAATACAACAACTTACACATGAATATATTATCCTAGTGATTAATCTATATCTACGCTCTTTTCGTCTTGCTTGTTTTATATTCAGTTGATCTATTCTAATTTAACTTGAAAAGTTGGTCAAATTGAGAGAGAGTACATATATAACTGTACTGCATATCAATGAACAGCCTTTGAGCCTCATCCTTTATCTCAAAAAGTTGCACTGCAACACCAGAAAGTTTAGCTGTTTTACCAGATTAAGTAGGGCCATGCTTACAATCACTAGCAAAATGTGGTCTGGCCAAATATATTGTAGATGACATGTTACTATCATGTTTTTTTTTAAAATTAAAAAACTGATAACATGTTACTATCATTAACAAAGGCACAGGGCATTTTCTAACCAGAAGGATGAGATTCTAAAATCAAGGCTAGATGATACCAAGTATGTGTTTTTGGTTCCACATGAAGTTAAGTAAATTGTATAATTGTACATGTAAACATATATCATAATGTGCAGGAAAATGAACTTCTGGATGGTAGAAAGAGAATATACAACAGACAATAAGCAAGAGCAGATGGTTTCCGAAACATATTTTCCCTCGACATACATACATAATAATACCCGCTGCAACTCAAACTCTTCATTCTTGGCTAGAAGCCTACAACATCGTCACGTTCAAGTATAAACCAAATACCAAAGTTACTAACATTTGCCCTCAAGTCAAAATAAGGACAGTACAATCTCAGCTACAAAGAAGAAATTCATATATAGATCCCAACAAAATATGAAAATAAACAAACAACCCAGAATATCCATGAACTAACAAAGTGAATCAACACAAATTTCACCTCCTCATACATAAAGATGTGTGCATGTCAAAATTCATATCCACAGTCATCCCATTAGTGAACCTCACTCAATCAGAATAGGGCTTATCCTTGAACCTGTACAGAAGCTTCTTCTTCTTTGAAGTTGGGTTGTCAATCGTCAACAGTATCTTACCTAGCTCAACAATCTTGAAGCTGCTGCTAACAACAGGTTCATCAGCTGTGGTCATCTTCCTAGGCTTCTGTATGTTCACAGTGTATCCACTATCTGTATTCGGCACATATTCAGCACTATATGTCACCTCCCAACCCAATACGCGTAGCTCCCAGACAATAATGCACTTCTGCAATCAAGAAGCATCAATGGTGAATTATCATCACTAAAAAGATTAAGCTGGTTATTATTATTCTAACAGAGTAGGCAATTTTTTTTTTCTCCATAGAAAGGAACGCGTAAACTATTTTAAATGCATTGCAACTTCACCTCATTTACAATGATCTCCACGGTTTGCTTTGTTGCAGGTTTAACAATGATCTCTGTGACTGGATCATTGGAAGTGAACTCGGGATTGCATTCACAGTAATCGACGCTGAGGCCCCCATATTGAACAGGTACTTGCTCAGGAGTTATATACCTGTGCCAAGCCAGTTAAACAGACATGATTACTTCCACTTCTAGCATACTGTTAAAAGTAACGGCCATAAAAATGTGCATACAGAAATTTGATACAAATTACAGCCAAAAGATCTCACTTGTAAAGAGTTTCTGCAGTCTTTGATGGACCAGCAAATACAAACTTGCTTTTTGTTCTCTGCGTCATGAATGGGCTGATCATTGTGTAGAAAGCTAAATACCACCAAGGGACGTTGATAAACACCTTCAAAAATCCAAACACGGACAATAAACTTTGTGCCACTACAATATTTAAACTTCCACTAAGCAAGACAAACAAAAAAAACAATAACCAAAATACCACAAGAAAAGTAATAATCAGAGGTATGGACCCTTAGGGCATTAATTCAGCGGAAAGGATACAGCACATGATGTTGATTGTTTGGTGCACATCATGGTTCAAACCTTGCCAAAAAAAGCATGGTATTTGCATCAGAAGGATGGACGGTCCATACTCCTCAGAGTTCCGAACTAGTGTGTCAACTGGAGTTGAGAGGGAAGACTTCTTCGATATCCCAGCTATGGCACACAAGGCTATGATAATGTCTTAAAAGTAATAGATATCAATTAAGAACTAATCCTATCAAACACACTTCCATACATGCAACTCAACCTACATATAAACCTTCTCTGCCAGAAATCATATCATAAACAAGTGTTTATCAGCACTACTTGGTAAATTCAGATTTAGACAATTTTCTATCAGTTAAACTCATCACACTCAGAAAGCTCCAAATTATAGAAATGCTACACAAGCCAACAAAAGTTTACACCTGTTGAATCAACAATTAAAGAGTCCAGATTCATATACTAAAGGATTATGATACCTGCTTAGCAACGAATTCCGGATAATTATCCTGAAGCAATTGCAAGGCCTGCCTAGTAGCAATTCGAAGTTCCCTTTTCCCTGGACCAGGTGAGTTCTTGAGGTCACTGACTTGAAATATAGTATTGATTCCACCAGGACTGAAATCTAACTTCCTTATACTCCTCTCCAAGAACTGAATCCTCCAGCGTAAAAACTTGTTTCTCTTCTCCTCATCTCCAAATGTTTTGTTATACAATTCCTTATTCTGAAACTCCCCATACACATTATAACAAACAGGGTGTCCCTCTTTGTCATGACCATCCATAAACACTACTTTTTCAAGATCATCCCCAAGATTTTCATCTACTAGTTCTTCAATGTTAAACTCCTTTCTCCATAAAATAGTGTTCTTTAACATAGCAAATGACTCCTTAACCTTGAAATCTCTAGCTCTAAGAAACTTAAGCAGAATAACATCACTCCTATCATCTTTCAATAGTGGCACACCCCAAATGGATACTTCCTGAGGCAAATCTGTTGTTCCAGTAGTAAAGGTCTGATCTTTAATAGCTTCTTGAACAAGAAATTTAAGTTCTTCAAGTGCCTTTACCTCAGAATCAGATAGATCTGAAACTTTATTGCTTTCTTCTTTAAATGAAATCAAAGATTGAGGGATCTTTTTCTCTTCAACAGGTTTAGATTTGTCAGATTCAGTAGGTTCTTTCTCAGGAAGAGTAAGAGAGACGTGTTGAGCTTCAACAAGAGTTGTTGTTGTTGGTTCTTGTGGAGGTTCAGTTAAAGGAGCTTCCTTTTCAACAACAGTAACAACAGAGTGATGCTCCTCTACAGCTTCTACCACTGATTCAACTTCAACTGAAGCAAGAAGTGGTTCTGGTGAAGGTGGGGGTAGGATATCTTCCTCAGCCGTGAGTGGGGGCTGATGGGTATGCTCTGTTTCAGCCATTGTTGGCAAGAAAAGCAAATGGTTATGGTGCTTTCAGCTTAGGTTTGGTCTTACTTACAGCTGAGAAAGAGTAGTAGTAGTTTTCAGTTCATTCCAGAGAGAGAGAAAAAGGTACCTTTTTGGACAAAAAAAGGAAACGGCTGAGCAGAGTGATGCTGTTTTGCTTGTGAGCTGTTGAGGTTAAGGGTTGACACGAAAGGGTTTAGGCCTCTGCAGTTTTTGTTACAATGTGGGAATCCTAGGTACCCATAAAACATGCCATCATTTTATTTTTTTTATGGAGAAAAGTATTGAAACCATAATTAAATATCTCCGATCTTACCACATTACTGAAATATACCTCAAATTTTTCATTCACTTTAGAATACTTTCAACACTTCTCCCAATTTTTTTATTAACAACAATATGTCATTATAAGAGTTTGAAATATTCTATTATGTCATGTGACAGATAAAGTGATCGAGGATATTTTTAAATTTAATTAACTAAATAAAATAATATTTTTGAGATTGTCAATAATTTGAAAATTAAATTAATAATTTGCGTGAAGTTTAACTCCATTTTTTTTAACTTATACGTATATCCTCTAATGGGTAAATTCTTCATGGTTACATAGCTACTAGTATCATTTTTTGAAAAATCGCTTTTCGTAAAACGTTGTTTAAAGTAATTTGATTTAAAAGTTAGGTTATTTGAAAAGGACTTAAAATCTACTCTCTATGACTTTGTAATCAACTACCCACGTCATAAATTAGCCACTTACGGTCAGTGGCGGAGCCAGGATTTTTGTGGAGGGGGTTCAACTTATAAGAAGTAAATAAGAAAATGGAGCAAAACGGATCGGGAAAGAAAAAAATTATTTTTAATCCATTAAATATAATTTGTCTTGTCATGCCGCATTTAGCATTTCTTCCTACTTTTACTATGCTTCATTGATTCTTTTCTTTTTTAATGATTTTTTTCTTTAATTTTTTATTATTTTACTTTATTTTGAATTTTTAAAATAAATTAAATTAGTGTTCATCAATCATATGTTACTTTAAAAATTGTTTAATACTCTTTAAAATGTGTGGGGATTGAGTTATAACTAATATTATAATGCATATTAAAAGGATAAATAAATGGCATCACCAATTTTTTGTTCATTTATTCAATTTATAAGGTTTTCCATCGGTAAAAAAAAAATAAAATCATATCAATGTAGTTTACATCTCTCTAGAATAGAACTGAAAAAATGAGAAAGAAATATGATGAATAATCATGTCTTTCAAATTTATTCGTTCGATTAAGTTTAACTTATCTTTAAAGTTTTTTTTCTCTATCTCAATTTTAAGTTTAAGAATAATTGACAGTTTTTTAAAAAGTTCCTTTGAATTTGTATATAAAAAGAGAGTTACGTAAAAATAAAATGAGCAATGGAGACAAAAATAATAAAATACAAAAATGAAAATAATGTGCCTTAGAAATTCAAAAAAATGAATATTGAAAAGGAGAAATAACATTAAAAAATGAAAAAAAAAAAAAAAACAATAAATCTCCAGCCCAAAAATGTTGAGCCCATCACAACCTTGCTATTTGATTTTCCAAATGAAGAAAACAAGAAAATTTCAGGAAAGTGTTGTTGCGCAGAATCGAACCCATGACGTCCAAGCGAATTCTTGAACCCCCTTTACCACTGAGCTAGCCTCTTTACATGTGTTTAGGGGGTTCATTTTAATATATACACACATAAAAACAGAATTTGACCTTATATATACCGTGTAATTTTTCGACGAGGGGGGTCTGGTGACCCCCTAACCTCCATGTAGATCCGCCCCTGCTTTCGACAGAGCCCCCCCCACCCACCCACCACACACACACCCCATAAATTTCAAAGGTAAAAGCATTCAAGAAAATACATGAAAAACATGAGGCTCTTACGTTTGTGAAATTTGATCGTATTTGAAGTGTGTACGTAATATTTTTACACTACTAATAAACTCGTAAATTTACAAATGAAAGACACCAATAAACAAGAACGCAGAAAAGAAAAAAAATGAGCTCATTATACTTCCTAAAATATCAAATTTGTACGTTAACTAAAGTCAGATCAGATCAGCCCATATGAAATTTCTTTAGTATCAAAAAGAAAAGCGAAAAGATATCAGAGAATAGTAAGAATAGTCCATCATTCGACAATGAACAATAATTCTTTTATAAGATAGATTACATAATTCAAATTTTATGAGTATAACCTTTGATTTTTTAGTCTTGAACTCATTATATTTGTATTATACTTTTAGCGAATTTTACACATAATTTTATACTTTACGTTAAAAATATTTGAATTCAAATGAATTTGATAACTCAAAGCTCTATCCGCTCGTAAGCCATATACAAATTGCTTGTGGGTTAGTTTGACTATAGTTAGTCAACTAAAATATCAAAATCTTGCCGTCTTGCGTATCCATATTTTCATCATAGAGTAATTTTTAACCAAAATAAGATATTATGGACTGGTTTAATCAAAAGATTAAAAAAGGTATCATGTATTAAAGCTATCGTTTGATACATATAGCATGCCAACAGAAATTTATCCCTAATAAACTAAACAATATTGGAATCAATAAACCCAAGGCATTGTTGATTATATTGTTTTACAAGATATAAAAAGATTTTCAGATGATTTTATAGCATATAGGATCAGTTTTTTTGGTATCTTTCAATAGTTTGCTCAAAGCCTTTCACTTTCCCACACTTTCACCTTTTCAAATCTTTAAAGGCAAAATAATCCAAGAAAAATTTATAGATGAATTAGGTTGTTACTGTTAAAGAGTGATTCAAAACTATTGACTGAATTGGGACATGGGTAGTTTAGTAGAACTAGTCTTTGGGTCTTTGTTAAGTAGTTTCCTATATTTACTCAAGTTTCATTAGTGTTGCTGATTAAGTGTCATAGTGGGTTACAAGACCTATATTTTAGGATTAGTTGTTTATCTCTTAGCCTATATATCATGTGGGCATATTTGTTATTTTAGCACTTCCAATTAATCTGAAATTAAACGCAGTCACAGTTTTCCTTCTCTTTTATTATTTTCAGATTTCTCTGAACTTTTTCTCCAACAAATTTGGCATCAGAGCCAGCCATGGCAAGTAGCAATAGTGCATTGAATGTGGCACAACCACTCATTCCTGTCTTCAAGGGAGAAAGCTGCAAATTCTGGAGTATCCGTATGAAAACTATACTCAAATCTCAAGATCTTTGGGACTTGGTAGAATGTGGATTTGCAGATCCCGATGAAGGAAACAAACTGTGAAGCAACAAGCAAAAAGATGCTAAAAAACTGGTTTTTATTCAGCAGGCTATTCATGATAGTGTCTTTTCACGGATAGCAATAGCAACCACATCCAAACAAGCCTGGACTATTCTCCAAAGAGAGTTTCAAGGCGATTCAAAGGTCATTTTAGTGAGACTGCAATCACTTCGGCATGATTTTGAAACCTTGATTATGAAAAGTGGAGAATCCATTGCTGGTTTTTTCGTCAAGAACAACGACAATTGTCGGTCAAATGCGATCCTACGGAGAGAAGGTAACTGATCAGACCATTGTGGAAAAGGTATTGCGAAGCCTAACTCCAAAATTTGATCACGTAGTTGCTGCGATAGAAGAATCCAAGGATCTATCCGTCTTTTCCTTTGATGAACTGATGAGATCTATTCAAGCTCATGAGGCGAGAATTAATCGATCCACAGAAAAAAATAAAGAGAAGGCATTCCAACTTAAAGATTCAGCCACCAAATATGGAGAAAATAATAGTCTAGCAAGCAGAGGTCGAGGAAGACGAGGCTTTCGCGGTGGTCGAGGTCGTGGTTATGGAAGGGGCACAGGAAGAAATGACGGACACAGGCAATCCAATGAGCAAGGTAACACAAAAAATGGCATTCAATGTCATCACTGTCAGCGTTACGGACATATAAGGGTTGATTGATGGTATAAAGATCAGAAAATAAATTTTGCAGCAACAGAAAACGAGGAAAAGAATTATATTTTTATGGCTTGCACTAATACAGACCATAATCCAAGTGATCTATGGTTTGTAGACTGTGGTTGTTCAAATCATATGACATGTGTCAAATCTTTGATCCATGAGCTTGATGAGAAGCAAAAGAAAAAGGTGCAACTTGGCAATACAAAAGAGTTACTGATTGAAGGAAAAGGCATGGTGAGCATTGACACTAATCAAGACAAAGTAAACATGATAGATAATGTTCAATTTGTACCTGATTTAAAATATATTTTGTTGAGTGTTGGGAAACTAATGACCAATGGATATTCTCTTTGGTTTGATGATGATGTTTGTGTCATTACAAGTAAGAAGTCTGGCAAAAAGGTTCATATCACTATGACGCCAAATAAGATGTTTCTGATATGGAAAATTTTGCCCTTGCTGCAAGTGCAAAGGATGACTCAAAGTTGTGGCATTTGAGGTAGAGTCATCTCAACATAAACGGCCTCAAATTGCTAGGTGATAAAGGTATGGTTCTTGGACTACCAAAAATTAGTTCTCTTGATTTATGTGAACAGTGCATTTATGGGAAACAAACCAGGAAATCTTTTCCTGTTGGAAAGGCATGGAGAGGTTCTAGATGTTTAGAATTAATACATGCTAACTTACGTGGTCCTATGCAGACTAAGTCCTTAGGTGGAAGTTGTTATTTCTTGTTGTTTACTGACGATTATAGTCGCATGAGTTGGGTGTATTTTCTGGAAAACAAGTCAGAAACTTTTGAAAAGTTTTAGGTGTTTAAAGCTTTGGTAGAGAACCAAAGTAACTACAATATTACTGTTCTTCGCACCGATAGAGGAGGAGAGTTCGTGTCCAACAAATTCAATTTGTTTTATGAAAAAAATGGCATCCATAGGGAGTTAAAAACTCCTTATACCCCAGAGAAAAATGGTGTCGTTGAACGGAAGAATCGAACTGTGGTGGAGATGGCAAGGAGCATGTTGCATGCAAAGGAACTCGCAAATCAGTTCTGGGCAGAAGTTGTGGCAGCATCTGTTTACTTGCTGAATCTTTCACCAACAAAAGTT